ATGTCCCAGCATTCGGTCACGTTTCTGTCCATCGGTCAATCCCAGGCTGTCCATCATTGATTTTTGTTTGCTCCTGCAGTCCAGAAATCTGCAAGACAGCGGGGAGGTGGGTACACAGCCCTGCCTGGGCCGGCCCTGCTGACAGAGGCCGCCAGGCAGGACCCAAGCAGGGGGAGAGGGGAGGAAAGGAGACCCCTCTCCCAGAAAGCGCCAGGCCCCAGTAACCAGGCGCCAGCTCCCTTCCCATCTCTGCAGACATACGCAACCAACACGAGTCCTGCGAGCAATTCAACCGCAACACAAGACGCGCTGCAGTAATTCATGCAAGGAAAGGGGAGGCAGAGGCTGTCAGGACTCTCTGTGCCCAATCCTGCTGGTGGGGCACAGAAAAGGGGCATCACATCGCTTCAGGGGACACTCAGAGGTGTCCGGACAAGCATCCTCCAGCAGAAATGACAGGAGATACCATGTCAACCGCAGGCTCAGAGGAAAAACCCAGCGAGTTCTCCCGCCCTTCCCAAGTCGTCCCTAGGACTGTCCACGAGGACTCAGAGATGTTCCCCGTGTTGCTCTGTGCCTGCTCTGACAACAGCGTGGGAGGGACCCTGCTCCCCCTTCCCAAAAGCAGAGGAAGGTTCGAGAACAAGTGCTGCCAAGTCGAGACCTGGGCTGGCTGCCCTCACCTGGAGACCCTGGCCCCCAGCATCTGCCCCCTCTTCCCCAACACGGTACGTGCCACGCAGTTGCCTCAGGAACAGCAGAGCCTGGTACCGGTACAAGATGACCAAGGCACTTGAAGGTAATGCCATACCCACTGCTATGGCAGCCATGCCCCTATACCATGGGGCAACAGGGTTTCTGACACGAGCCCTACTCTAATCCCACGGAGGGGGAAATGCACGTCACCTAGAGTTTAGCAGAGGATGAAGCAATACCCAGCATGGCGGGGAAGTTGTTGGCAAAGGTCAGACAGCTCCCGCCATCCACCACCAAGGTGGTGCCCGTCACGTAGGAGGAGAGGGGGCTCGCCAGGTACAGCGTGCTGTGGGCGATCTCCGTCTTGTTCCCCGCGCGCTGGAGGGGGATCGCGTTGAAATGGCTTGCTTCCTCGATAAGTTTCCCATCTAAGGCTGGTAGCAGAAAGAGTTAGGTAGGAGCGTGGGACCACCTGCCCACCACCACTGCCTGCCAGACACTGCAGCACTGCTTGCACGGGGCTTGCTGAGAGCCCCAGGGAACCTAGACGAGATCCTGGGGACAGCCCAGGGACAAAGGCCTGAGAAGAGACTTAAATGAGGGGAGCTCAAGCCCAGCAGTGGGATTTGTACTGCAACAGTGAGTTCAAGACAGAACCTCGCAGAGCCTTCCCAGCCTCCAGAGCTGAACCGGTACTCTGCTGACGGACTGCAAGAGCTAAACCATCAGGCAAGGCCAGGCTGAGTTTTGGGGGAGCACATTATGTTGTGGCGTCAGAGAGCACAAAAAGCTGCCACTTGACAGCGAAAAATCAGTGCCCTGCGAGGTACCGAGGATGCGGGAAGGGCTGCTCCCCCAAAGAGACGTGCCAGCCGAGTCACAGGACAGCCGTGCCCAACAGCAACAGCCCCAGCCGCATCACAGGCCCTATGAGCTGCATGGTGGTCCATCACAGTCCCCTCCCAGAGAGACGCCAGCAAGCCACCACCAAGGCAGACAGGAGCCCCAGGTTGCCTTACCCAGCCGCCGGTAGCCCTCGGTGCCTGTGACAGGGCCCGGCGCCAAGCTGTTCACTCGGATGTTGTTGGGTCCCCACTCCACAGCGAGGTGACGGGTCATGGCATCTGGGAAGGGATTACAACAGGAATGAGAAATGGAGAACAGTGCCATTCCAGTAAGTTCTGGGGGGGGCCAAAAAGCCACAGGAGACTCTGGCCAAGAGCAAAGGGCCCTAGAAGAGCCCTGGGGGAGAGAAGAGCCTCATCCCAAACCCAGGCACATAGTAACCACACTAACTCATATGCGCCTCTCCCAAGGACATCTTCCCATCTCAATATTCGGGAAGAACCAGCTTCCTTACTGGCCCCACACAGCTCACCGAGCCCCAGCAAGGAGCGTTTAGGTACCTATGGCAGCCTTAGCAGAACCAGCATGCACCTGGAGGGCCTGCCCTCGGTAGCTCAGGGTTGCCGTGATGTTAACGATCACCCCACCGTGGTCCTGGGGAAGGAAAGGAGACGTGGCGTTAGGCAGGGAGCAGCACAAGGGGTCACGTAGAGGAGCGGTGAGACAAGAGAGCTGGGCTAGGAGGGACAGTCACCCGTGGGTGCCACCTCTGCGTTGCTAATCCATCACCGGGGCAGCACTGCCCACCCAGCGGGGCCCTTCCAGGAGGAGATGCAGGGGACAAGCAAAGGCCAAGGGAAAGCAGAGGAGCTGGAAAAGGAGCAGCAGATCACAGCTTCTTCCCCAGGAGGTGGCAGAGCGTGGAAAGGTGCCACAACAGTCAAAAGCCCCAGGGTTAGAGACAGGCAGGATTCCCGGTTCCATCCCTGGGAGGGAACAGACTGGATCTGAGCAGGGTGGGTGGCAGAGGCCCCGCAGCACTGCCCTGGGTACACGGGTGCTCTGCCCCCTTCTGCCCTCCACATTTCCCCGAATTTCTCAGGAGCAAAGCGTGGTTTGTTTGACACTAACTCCCTGCCTACCAGGAGCCTCTCCACTGAGTCCTCTGGCTCTGGTTCCACTTACCCGGAAATATTTCTCAAAGAGAACTTTGGAGGTGTTGAAGGTGCCAATGGTGTCGATATCTATCACTGTCTTGAAGGCATTGAAGGACAGGGCGCTGGCTGGGCACAGAAAGTTTCCTGCAGCACCTGAAGAACAAGCAGCCGGGGGCACAGTCAGGACCGGGCCAGGAGAAATGAGGCAGGTTCAGGGCACTTCTGCGAGAGGGACGGTGAGCGATACTGTTTGGGTAGACTGGAGAGCACGTGGAAACAGCCCTGATAAGGAGATAACAGCTTGCAGCTCCGGGTACCCAGCACCATGGCCAGCCTGAGGGCAGGAGGGTGCTGGCGCAGCGAGAGCAGGGATGACGTGATGGCCATGCATTAAGAACAGGTCTTTGCTTCCTCTGAGCTCCCAGGCCAAAGCAGCATAAGCCAGACACGTCTTCCCTCTCCCACTCCAGCAGCTCACCGTTAACGAGGATGTCAATCCGCTTGAACTTGTTCAGCGCCTCATCCACCGCTGCCGCAATGGCTTGGGGATGCCTGACGTCCATGGACACAGGCAGGCACTGCTGGCCTGTGGCTGCCCCCCGCTTTTTTGAGGCCCGCCAAAAAAAAAAAAAAAAAAAAAAAGAGGTGAGATTCTTTCTGGGACTCTCTCCTTCAGCAAGGGTTAGACCCAGACCTCCTAACAGGCGAGCAAGAAGTCAGGCAGGAGCCACGTCCCTGTCAGCACACAGCAAACGCTGCGTGTAGGGGAGAGACCTGCCTAAACACAGCCGGCTTCAGCCCGGCAGCACCCTGCAGCTAAAGCCCTGGGGTAGCCAGAGAAAGCTCCTGCAAGTTGTATCCCAACCAAATGCCAGGCTGGCCCTGAGGCCACAACTCGCTAAGCCCAGTTACCTCCGTGGCCTGTCATCGACACAGCACATCCCACGCAACGTCTCTGCAGGGCAAGTACAAAGGTTGGACCCCAACAAGGCGTTTTTGGCATGAGCTCAGACATAATTAACGTTTAGATCCAAAAAAGTAGGCAAAATGGCAAATGCAGACCAGCAGTTGCCAGGGTGTCTGCCCGCGAGGCAGAGCGGGCCAGCTCTGCGGCTCCGCATCTGCCACAAACCAGCCCCGAGGCGCTTGTTAAAAACAGGACTCCCCTCAGCAAATTAAGCACAGGGGTCGTGCAAACTCAGCAGCGACCCTGCACAGCACCCAGTGACGCTCCACGTTCCTCCTCAGGCTTGTCAGGCCCTTCTGTGAGCAGTTTTGAGCCCTGACTAGCACACACGTACAGCGAGCATCAAGAGCCTACATCCCTGTGTACTCAGAAGACCCCAGCCCCTGAGGACTAAAAAGCTGCTGAGCTTTGCAGCTTGTTTTCTGGCATGTGAGCATGAGGGAATGCGAATGGCAGCACTAACCCCCTCCAAGAGGCAGCTGGGCCATGCCAGCTCACTCCCAAGTGTCAATTTTGACTTTTACTGTATTTCAGTGAGCTCCACACACAGCTACCACAAAGCTCTCTCTCAGCCAGAAACTGTGATCGGCCAAACCCCAGCCTGGCGTCAGACACGCAGGGGTGGGTGTTTGTTCTGCCCAGCCGTCCACAGGGTAGTTACAGTCTCATACAGCTTCTTCAGTCACCGCTCTCCAGACCTGCATCCTACCCTCCATCTCAAGATGCAACACAACTGAGATTTTGGGGCTCAGCGTACCCACCTCAGCCCACGTAACCCTGGGACAAGGGGGTCTTGCCCTGCTCGAGGCTGAGATTTAAGTTTGACCTTGGGCTCTGCCACTTCCCCACTGACAAACCTTCACCACAGTTTGTTTCTCTCCGTCTCGACAACAAAAAGGCGATGTGATACCTGGAACAGACACTCCCAAAGCTGGCGGGGGAAGGTATTTCCACAATGAACAACCCTACTGCGAGGTGCGGTAGGTGCAGCCCACCCTAAACCCGCACCCGTCTCACCCATCACTGCTCCCTGCTGGTGCTGGAGCACTCAGAGCCGGGAGAAGACAGGGTAGCACAGGTGAGCTATTTCTCCTCTTGCACTACTCCCAGGGCTCCCAGCTCCCTCCAGAGGAGAGGGCGGAAGGATTTCCAGGCGTTCCCAGCTCTCCCTAATGCCGCCTGTGCTGCTAGAACCCACGGACTCACCTCCGACACTCGCTGCAGGTTCCGGCTTGCGATGACCGTC